CAGACGTATTTAAAAGTCTCAAACCATAATATTCTTCCTATAAAAACAGTTATTCACTATTTGGTAGAGCAAGGTCAACTGTCAAATTTGACACATTTTTCGATGATTTCACCAGGTGGCATGCATTGTCTCACTTTGGATCTCAATATTTTCCTGCTAGATGGCCAAGACCTAGTGTTTTTGCAGTATTTCGACATTTAAATGTATGATGTCACCATTTCAACCATCAATGAACGCATGGAACTAAACCAAAGCTTAATATAAAGGAATAGCTGGAGAGGTGACGGAATTACCCACGATTTCGGAATATACCGCGTTTACCCTAGCGTCTAGCGCAATAATCTTATATAAGAAATTGGTTTAAATATTGAGTAAATGAGGAAATTTAAAATGAACTGAATCTTAAAAATCTCTGGTTTGCCACTATGCCATATGCGCAACTTGAGTTCTGATTGGTTTACGTCACCCACAAAACACCACAGTGACCACACTATGTGCCACGGTGCCAACAATGATGAAGCATCACAAACTGTTGCCATATTTATTTGAAAGCCTTTAGAATTCAAATCTACAAAATCACTGAATTGCAACACTGTGTGTGACTAGGTAAATGCGGCATATTGTGAGACTAATTCCGACAGCGCTTCAAAATCATAGTTTGTAATTCCAACCACCCTGTTTGAGCTGTGTCAGAATATGACACCCTGTGTCACAGCTGTGTGTTGTAGCCTAATTCCAACACCATGTTGGAATTAGTTTTTATGTGTCTAAAACCGTCTCATTAATCAATCATCTATTAATTTATTTACCACCACGGCACTTAAAATCAGCAAATACAAGAATACTTACAGGATTCCTAATATATTCACAGACTTATTTAAAATTCTCAAACCATAATATTCTTTCTACACAAACAGTTTATCACTATTTAGTAAATCAAGGTCAACTATCAACTTTGATATGTGACACATATCAAATGACCTTGCTTTACTAAATAGTGATAAACTGTTGGTGTAGAAAGAATATTATGGTTTGAGACTTTTAAATAAGTCTGTGAATATATTAGGAATCCTTCAAGTATACTTGTATATGCTGATTACAAGTGGTAAATAAATTAATAGATGATTGATTTAAGAGACAGTTTTCCCAAGAAATTCACTTCCCAGGCAACAATTAGAGCTTTCCTACCTTTTGTGGAGCCATGAGACTCTTGCTGGATGAATTATCTCCCATCTACTTGTAAATGTTCAGTAGTGCAGTAGTATCAATTTCAGAAGGTATCAAAGAAAGATCTTGAAGATAAGTCTTGCAGCAGCTTCAAGATTTTTTTTCAGGCACTTTAGTCAAATTGGATCTGTGTACCACTGTAAATGTTTATGTTTAGATTGCTTCTCCAGAATTAGCTCCTGTTAACTGGTCAATGAGACAGCTAGCCACTATAATTTCATTAGCAAAGACCAAATTGCCAATTTGTTTGTTGAATTATTTAGCAAATATGATAAAGATAGAGAAGCTCTTGATTTGTACCTACTTGGTTCACCATAAATTATTGAATGTATGCAACAAATAATAATGTCAGTGCCTTGTAGTATTAATGAAAATGTCATTTCAGGAATAACATGCTTGTGTCTCGTGGGATACAAATGCCCACGGCTGTGAAGACAGGAACAACAATTGTGGGTGTGGTCTACAAAGAGGGCGTTGTGTTGGGTGCAGATACCCGCGCCACTTCTGGAGACCTCATTGCTGATAAAAACTGTGACAAAATTCATTACATGCAACCAAACATCTATTGTTGTGGTGCTGGTGAGTGGTGATATGCTTTAGTCAAATGATATTTAGAAGCATGGAAACATTGGTGACAATTGAATAATGTTCAATTCTCATTACTTCCTTGAATTTCTTATGTTGCTAAATAAGAAATTTTTTTCATTAAATCAATTGTATCATTAAATCTCAGTTTAGTTCCACCCACTATGATTATTCAACTTTATTGGAACTGTTTTCTAAAATGTAAGAATGTTAAATTGTGAACCTGATAACAATAACATAATTACTACATAATAACATATGGTAGGTACTTTTATTTCAATAGCAAATTTTATTTCTTAGGCACAGCAGCAGACTTGGAAATGACCACCCAGCTGATGTCAAGTCAGCTTGAGCTGCACAGGCTGAACACAGGGCGGCAGGTGCTGGTCAGGACCGCCAATAGGATGCTCTCGCAGATGCTCTTCCGGTATCAGGTCAGCTCTTGCTTATAACAAGTCTGCTGATGATAAATTCATTACAGTGCTGAAAATATCTGTTGCTAATTTTAGAAGCTCTTCGATGACTGATTTACTGTTGTCCTTGCTTTCTATGTTGTCCTTGCTTCTGACTGTTGCATTACCAGTGACTGTTGTGTTACCAGTAACTGTTGCATTACCAGTGATTGTTGTGTTACCAGTAACTGTTGCATCTGTCTCTTATACACATCTCCACACAGGATTTCGAATTTGGTAGCTCAAGGANCATACCAACCGTAGTGTTCCATGCCGCACTATGGCTTGTAGTGCGTAGTGCTACTTCAAAGTGCTAGTGCCCTATTTAGCATGCCAACCGTAGTGTTCCATGTCGCACTAGTACCGCACTACGGCTTGGAGTGCGTAGTGCTACTTCGTAGTGCTAGTGCCCCATTTAGCATACGGGCCAGTAGCAAATCATGGTTGAACTATTCAACCATGGTAGAAATGAACTTGTTTTTTCGTTTACAGCATAAATATTGAAGGGCATTGTTTGCCAATTATATGATTGGAAAGAATATTACGCGGTTGAAATAATTTTTCTTCATTTTATAATAATTCGAAATTATTAAATTTATTGAGACAATCTAGGTGTTTAAAAACTTGGCTCGTTTTCCGGCGCACTCACGCAAGTAGCTTCTTCTCTGGAGCTAAAGTTCCTCGTGTTGTCATTGCAAACCGCTTCTCCTGTAGTATCGTTGCCAACTTGCCGCTTGGCGCTTGCAACTTGCGCACTTCGTTTGAATAAACTAAGCACAATGACGAAGGACGAAGACATCGATGAAGTCCACACAGGATTTCAATTCGATAACCTGGCAAGGTAAAAGTTGAAATTTAGACATCTTATTGTCGATAAACTGCTGGTACTGGAGCATGGAGAAATGTTGAAAAATTGCACTGCAAATATGCTGTCAGTTGATCAGTATGTATTTGTATCACTGCCATAAAAATTGTAGAGTACCTACCTAATTATACTGTTAGTGTTAAGCATCAACTAACTTTACTGCCTATTAAGCTGCCACAACAAGAGCACTGACTGACTGACTGTCACTGACACCATTGGGGGTGATTGGCGTTGGTCTACTAAAAGCTTTCTGATTCATAATCTAGGTAGGCTTACTAGGCTATGTAGCTATTTCATTAAAAATTTCAGATTTAATATGATTACCTATGAGGTTAGGTAGTATGAATGATGCATTAAATTTCAAAGTTCATATCTTATACAGGCATGGAAATTGGAATATTGGAATTGGAATACTTGGCGAGCCGCGACTGAATTTTTTGAGCCGTCGTTTTATGGATTTGCGAGCTGTGATTCCATTTCTTTGAGCCATGAATTCCATATCTTGGCCATGAAAAGCCATTTACAAGGTGGGAATTTATTTACAAAGTCCATGCACGTGTTACCCCCAAATCTCTAATTTTACCCTAAAACAGTCAAACAGCAACAACAAAATTTGTCTTTACTGTAATTTGAACACGTGTTAATGTAGTCTGAACTCTGACCGCTTTGACATGATCGCAACTNGATATTGTGTCCGTGAACGCGCTGCGTAGGAACTGGGATATTGTGTCCATGAACGCGCTGCGTAGGAACTGGGATATTGTCTCCGTGAACGCGCTGCGTAGGAACTGGGATATTGTGTCCGTGAACGCGCTGCGTAGGAACTGCGATATTGTCTCTGTGAACGCGCTGCGTAGGAACCTGTCTCTTATACACATCTAGATGTGTATAAGAGACAGGTCAAGGAATCTTTGGCGGAGGCTTGCGTGGAAAATAAAATGGAAGTTGTGACATTTTTTGCATTGAATCAGCATTGTCAAAGCATTTCGTAAATGCTTTGGTTCATATATGATTTGCATGAAATTGTTCCATGCTGCGTGAGTCATTGAGTAAAATTTACGTTTTAAGCGATTTATTTTAGCTTGATTATGGGTTCAAAATCACCAGTAAACTTTCACCTCAACCAATTTAGCAATACGATGTATTGCAACAGAAAATCGCTGAGTTAACGCTAAAAATTAATTTAATCAAGATTTTGCCAAAATAAATATGCAACAGCAGTGTCTTTCGATAGAACTAGTACGTGAGCTTCTCACCAGCAAATGGCGTCCAGGTTTGCTTCCTCAGACGTTACGCGGAGTTCCAACGTAAGCAGATACTGGTAATGGCGGTAGCACGCCTCCCACCGCCGGCCCACTGCCTTCATACACACCCCGTGCGACAAGTAGTCTGGGGGAGGAATAATTTACAGTATACCTTAAGATCCTTCCATGGTAACATATATCCAGAGTTCATTTAAGGACACCAACCCAAGGTCATGCTGGGAGCACCACCTTTTCACGGCTGCCAAGCGCCTTCCACAGGCAACACCGAGAAATGGACTCGGTGTTGCCTGTGGACGCCCGTGAAACTTCCGCTCATCGAAGTCATGTATTCTTAATTAATTCATATCCTCGTATTTACGGACTTACGACCATCGCAGTGACGAATTCTCTCAGTTCACCTGATCGGAAGCGCGGGTCTTCACAAAGCCCCGCTTGGAGGAGGCGGGCGCCGCTGATGTTCTCCTCCAGCACTGCCCGCGCCGCTGCGGTCAGACACTTGGTCGCGTGAGCGTCCACGCAACGCATACCCTCCGAGAACGCGCTGCGTGGACAGGGATACTGTGACTATGTTAACACTGAGAGGGAACAGGGATATTGTGTTCGTGAACGCGCTGTGTGGACAGGAATATTGTGACTATGCATACGCTGTGCTGGAACAGGGATATTGTGTCCGTGCACGCACTGAGTGAACGGGGATATTGTGACTATATGCATACGCTGCGCTGGAACAGGGATATTGTGTCCGTGCACGCACTGCGATACGGGCAGTGCGTGCACTGTAACAGGGATAACAGGGGATACAGGGATAATCACTGTAACAGGGATATAGGGATAATCACTGTAACAGGGATATTGTGTCTGTGCACGCACTGCGTGAACAGGGATATTGTGACTATGCATACGCTGCGCTGGAACAGGGATATTGTGTCCGTGCACGCACTGCGTGAACAGGGAT